AAATCAAATTCAAATCAAGAGTTTATTCGATTCGATCAAATTCAAATATGTAAATATTTGATTCGATTTGACTTTGAGGAACCCTACTAATATATATACAGTATATATTTAAAAGAATGTGTATTTAATATATTTAAACTATGCAAAAATTTTTTATTTAACAATTTATATCTTTTATGGCTTTGTTTAAAGATTTAAGTGTAGATAATTTAGATTCAGATTCTTTAAAACCAGTATATAATTTAATTGAACTGGAATTAGAAGAATATAAAGACAATAAATTAGTTCTTGACACAGTTCATGATCTAATACAATTTTTTAAAGAACAATCAAATTGTGCATACTATCAGATACCTAAACAATGAGATTTAAGAACCTGTTATGAAAAATCAGATTTAAAAATTTTTTTAAATGATATTTTCAAATAAGAATATTAGTAAAATCAGAACTTGTATTATTTTTAAAGACACAATTAACAGCCTTTGGAATTACCAATAAAAATACAGAATCTTAAAGACAAAATTATAGATATAACTATAATACATCTTTATTAATTTATAAACCAGTATTTCTAAAACTTTGTGGAATAAGTGACTATTTTCTTTTAGAGATACAAAAACATTTACAAGAGAATGAGTTAATTGAAAGAATTTACAGAAATATTAGGCATATATCTAAATTAAAAAGTAAAGTATATTTTGATTCTAGTATTACATTTCTAGTTAAATGCTTTTTAGAACAGTATGGAACAATTAATGGGCTTTCTTCTCCTATGAGACATAAAAATAAATCAGAACTCTTTATTTATTTACCTACTGGAAACATGTATACTTCAGTTTATAATAAATTCAAAGGATATTTTTATAAAGAAATTGGTAAAAATACAAAAGTTATTTTTTATTTTATATTTAGAAGACATTAGTATAAAATAATTCTTTATCTCAAATTTCAACTACCTGCAAGTGATCTTTGTGAAGTTTGTGAAATCTTTAAAGCTAAATTAGTAGTAGCAAAATCAGATATAAAAGAATATAATCAGATTAAAAGTATATATGAACAATATCGTATTGTAGCAAATTGAGAAAGAAAACATTATAATGATAATATAGCTAAAAGTACAAATGATTTATCTGTCATACATGTTTGTTATAATTGGGCACAATGTATATCAATTCTGTACTCACCACAACAAGTAGGACTAATTTACTTTAAAAATCTATTTTTTGCATATTTATTTGAAATATGTAAAACAAAAGAGGTCAAAATTTTCAACTAAATTTTGTAATAGATGAAGATGAATTTTCAGAATGTATTTCAAAAGGTGCAAATACTATACTCAATATGGTTTATCAGTTTCTTTAGGAATTTATACTTAAAAAAAAAATTACATATAATATGTGATAACTGTAAAAGGCAAAATAAAAACAATTTATCTCTTTTTTTTTATTGTTGATTAATAATATTAGGTTGATACAAGAAAATTTAAATTAACTTTATATTTTTGGGCCACACTAAATTTATTTGTGACTCTTTTTTTAGTTAAATTAAAAAGGTATATCAAAATCATAGAGTTAATACAATAAGTGATATTGAATATGTAATTAATAATTCTTCAAAAGAAAACAAAGCAATTTTATATAATAATGAAGTAAGTTGGGCTTGGCATGATTTTTTTTTATTATTTGAAACCTATTTTAAAAATTTTCCTATATAAAACAATACTATCATTTTAGATTTAGTAGTTTACTACAGACATTGGAAAAGTTTATGCATCAACTGAATCAGATAAACAAGAAATTTCATTTCAGCTATTATGTAAAAATAATTTCGATATTAACACTATACTAAAAACTATTCCTATTAAATTATTACCAAAAGAAAGAAAATACTATTTACTTACAAAAATTAGACAATACATAGATGACTCATATAAAGATATATATTGTTCAAATCCAAAAAAAACTGAAGATGAAAATAAATAAATTTTATTTTATTAATAAGATGTTTTCAAGCATCTTAATCAATAGATCGAAGGTTAATTTTTAATTAGTCAGAAATTCAAAATATTTTTGTATTCTCTATACTATCCTTAGTACAAAGTAATAACTGTAAATATAAGTTGCTTATAAAAAAATATTTGTGTTGTAAAGCAATTTTGCTAACATTAATGTTTTCAATTACCTTATTTAATAAATTAGAAGTAACTTTTTAATTAGTCAGAAATTGAATAAATTAACTAATTGTTACCACCTTGATAACCAAATTAGCGAAACACAACCCACCTTTTTCTTTAAAAATTTACCATTGATAAAGATCACTCAAGTATTACTTTTACATTTTTAAATATAATAAACAATTAATTCTTAACAAATATTTAACTAATCTAAAAAGATAGCAACTTTATTCTTAAAGTTTGAAACTTTTAAAACAAATAATTGATACAATAATATGAGTATAATAATATAGCATTTAATTAAACCATAATAAATACTATTATTTCATTCTTCACTTATTTAATTCAGTAAATAAGGCCTAAAACTGTAAGGTTTGGTAATAGCAATAAAGAAATTTAAATTGTTAAAATAATTAAAAAGAGGAGCAAATATAACTAAAGTTAAAACTTTAACAGTTAATTGAAAAGAAATTTTTTTTGTTAGGTTTTTTAGATAGTATAACGAATATTATAAAAAATAGAAAAAATATACTTAGAAATTTAATTTTAGAAATATTATCATTAATCATGATATTTGAGTATTATTACAATTATTATCTGATTAATTGAACTAATGTTGCAATAAAAAATTTAAAAAAGCTAGCACAACTAAAATTGAAGCTTCAGTAGCTAGTTTAATAGAAAATTTTTTATTAGGTCCTTAAAAGCATAGTGAAGATTATAAAAAATAGAAAGAGCACACTCAAGCATTTAATTCAATAAATAGCATCATTGATTATAATGCTTAAGCATCACCAATTAATTGAAATGCTTGAGAACCCTAAATTAATAAATTTTTTTAAAGAAAATTATTGAAATAAAATACAATAAGAGCCCGAGAAAATAACCAAAACCCAAAGCAATAATTAGAGAATTTGAAGCAGTGACTAGAGAATCTAAACAGTAATAAAAGAATCTGCAGCAGTAACAAAAACATGATACAGTAATCAAAGAACCTAAAGCAGCAATATAAACTTGATACAAAGATTAAAGAACCTGAGATAGCAACAAAAAACCTATTATAAAGACAAAAAACTCAAAATAGAGATTAAAAAATCTGAGACAGTAACAGAAGACCTGAAATAAATCAAAGAATCCAAGGAAGTAATAAAAACCCAAAGCAAAAATTAAAGAACCTGAGACAGAGATAGAAAACCTGATACAGAGAACAATTGATGATAGCAAAGATCAAAGAACAAAAGCCTAATTTCAAGACCAAAAACTTAAACAGTAACAGAGAACCTGAAGAGAGTTTAAGAAACCCAAAGCACAATAAAAAACCTAAAACAAAATAAAAACTTAAAACAAAGATAATAAATTAAAAATCTGAATAGTAACGAAGAATTTAGAGCAAAGATCAAAGAATACAAGACAGTTAGAAAAACCAGAAGCAAAATTAAAAAGCTTAAGTAGTAATAGAGAACTCGAAGTAGATTAAAGAACTTTTTGAAATCTAAAAGAGCAAGAGCTCGATTTAGAAATAAAGAACTCAAAGATCAAGATATCCAAAGTGACAAGATTTTGATAAAAAAATTAGCCTGAAATAGAGACTAAGAACCAGAGTGAGTCTAAGATGTAAATTAAAAACAGTAAAAAAAGTACATATTTGTAATGTTTTAGTAAAAAAATTATACTATAATAAAAAAATTTAATTTATATAACTAGAACTCTGATGATCAATTTCATATAACAAGAATTATTGAATTCTGTTTTTAGATCTTATATTAAAAAAATCCAAAATTAAAAAAGCCACTTTTATATTAAGATAATCTAACCTAAAAATTATACCAAAGTGCTATTCTAACACTAAAGATTAATATACTATCAAAATTTCATTTTTGGTTAAGGGTTCTAAAACTCAATTTTTCTAGCAAAGGCCCTATATATTTCAAAAGTATGGACCAAGGGGTGAGCATCTTTCAAACACTAAAAGCCTGAGTATACCGATCCTTCTGAGTTGCTGGCTGAAAGTAAAAGAGAGACTGATAAAGAATCCAGATAATAAGATAGTCTAAATACGAGTACTGGGGTTGCTAAGAACCAGAACATGTGCAAGGAGTACATAATAGGCACCTAATTAGAAAAGTTAGTACTTGAGAAATATCTATAAAATAGCAGTACTCCAAAAGGTGATGTGAAATACAAATACAAAATAGCAGATCAATATGTACTAATTAGAAAGAAGTTATAGAAACATGCAGGTAAATACATATATAGAACATGTACTGCTTTATTAGGTTTATCTCGAGAATAGACTAGGTCTATATAGATTAGTAATTTCTAAAACAGAGTACAAAATCTAGTTTGGGTAATACCAATATCTGCTTAGTTTAGTGAGAAAACCCATTGGGTTAGAGGGCAGATAGAGGTAGTTAAAACCAGATGGTTTAAACAATCAACCTCTGTAGTTGGAGTGCAGATATGGCAGATAGTATAAAATCTTTGAGCAGACTACTTAAATTAGACACCAAAAGTGCATATGTGGCTTGATATACCATTGTTGTAATTATATTATAAAACTCTGTCTATACTAATATTGTTAGCTGAAATTGGTTTATGTTTGTAGAAATATTTTGATATTTGATATTTAGTCTGCCGAAATGTCTAAATATTGCTGAAATTCTAAATTATGCCGAAATGTCTAAATAATTTCGAAATATCTAAATAATATCAAAATGTCTAAATTAAGAAATATATAAAGGAATTAGGGCTATTAATCAGTTCTGACTAAAACCACCGGTCCTGTGGTCCTCCTTAGAGCCGGACCAATATGGTTTTTTATAGGCCAGACAGGCCAAAAAGACTATTGGTTCGAATATAGTAGCTTTAAATAATTGTAACGAACTTGTATAGTCTAATTTTTGTGTATGTGAGGCTAAATTTTTTAATACTGTTGTATCTAAATATTATAAAGCTATAGAAGTAATTGTTAAAATACTGTAATGCTACAAATAGCATAGAATAACATAGGATAAAATTCTGCTATTGTTTAAAGTAATTTTTAGAATTAAGATATTTACTAGTTTTGTGAATAGAAAATCATTGATCATCAAAGTTTATAGCGAAAGATCTTAATTTTTTTTATTGTTTAGTCAAGGTTATTTTCTATAGCTATGAGTTTGTTTTTACTTGTTTTTGGACGTTTTAAAATTT